TATTCAACTTACAACCGACTGCACTGTTCATTGAAATGGATATTAGTGACTGATATAATAAACCAGTTGCTCATGTGTGCACGTGAAAACAATTTAGATAAAAAAGTTGTATCTCGTTTACGCAGAAAAAGTCAAATTTATGACGTATAATGGGTGTTTCTCGATAAAAATAACGTTTTAGCCACTTTTCTGAGTAAATTTTACGAAATTGGACAGAAAAGTGGAGAAAAAAGTAGAAAAAGATGGAAAAGCTGTTAGCACAACCCCTTGCGGGATTAAAAATGTGAAACACGATGTAACTGCTGTTTCAAATCTTTTAAAAACTGTTCTTTTCAATATTTGTTGGGGTATATTTCTTCACTATGGATTGCTTTACATTATATAGTTCAAACAGAATAATATTCCATATATGCTCTAATCATATATGTTAGTTATACATTATCTGATAGTTGCTTAAAGTCTCCTATCACAGTCTGTGGCTTGTATAAGGCTGTCTGTCACGTCTGTGGGAGGGGAGCGGGGGGTTGTGGGTGCAGATTTCTACCCTATATATTTCAACATTCCTTTCAGATAGTGTTTCATAAAAGTACAACGAATAAAAAAAAACATATAATAATCAGCTTAAAGTCGTTATTTTTTTCAAAAGATGCCAAAAGCCGACTTGTTTGTCTGCTTGGATACAGACACCTGACAACAAGATCCGTTCCCAATTACAGCCTTTAGCAAAAGTCAAATAGAAGTTTTCTTTTGAATTCTATGATAGAGAAAAAACTAGTGCGCAAAATAAAAGAAAACTATGAATACTTCGTCATAAGCTAGACTACTGTCGAAATTGAAATCAGTAAAATTTGTATGCCAATATACCTAGTAGTTCAGTTTTGGATATATGCCTGGATAAAAGTTTGTATTTAAGACGTTAACGATTATGACAAATGATGAATCGATGAAGTTGTTAATTTGAAAACAAAACTCAGCGTCAATGTTTGTGACTTGATCGAGGTATATAATAGGTTATTGATGCTTGCTGAAAATGTAATGTGTGTATATATGCAAGAGGCACATTTGCTGGTTGAATCAATGGTTAAGATGATAGTACAATTAAATTACAAAAACGAACACAAAAGAAGTCGAGAATTAAAAAAAGTGAGCGAGTAGCAACAAAAATATAGTACCTCTAAAGAAAGCAAAAATTGCTTTTTGAGACGCAAGAAGAAATAAAATAGACTATTCTTCTGCGAATTGATGATATTGAAAAACAACTGTAATATGATAGATTCTTTTCACTTCAAAGATTTTGTTTTGGTATAATCAGGCTAAAGAAGCTATGTCAGTTTCACATTTTAGTCCCTTAGGAACTGTGCTAACGAACTTTTCTATAACATCAAGAAAGAGTCCTGCATATACAGAGGAAAATACTTTTCAGTTTCGTGAAATACACTTTTTTTGAGAGTCAGATAAAAAGTGCATCACCATGTTTATTCTATCCCATACATTTCTCAGTAGCATCCAATTGAAACACTAAAAGTTAAAGTGTAGAGACGACCAGTTACTTTTCGAACATCTTTCAAACCTATTTATTCGTCTGATACATCACACATTTACTTAGCGTAGTTCAAAAGTTCTAACCACGGCGTTTAAATGACCTTATCGGATAATGTGATCTACTCAGAAATGAAAACCCAAATATGCCATGTTCTAGAGCTTTTGAGGCGCGTCGAATGGTATCTAGTAAACCCTGTTTTCATAAGACTTTGAAGGAACTAGAGTCAATCCACTTATAGACGACTATACACTCACGTCCACACTTACACCTAAGCATGATAAGTTATTGAATATCCTTTTGACTGTCGCCGACGCGTATATGGGCCCGGAGTCTCATATTCGCGTGAGCTAAAGTAGTCATTTATAAAGTATGCTTTTAAGACTCATTTGCATAACAACAAACGTTAAGCCTGAGCGCTTCCCAAATCACCATTTTATTAAGGCATGTTACAGAACTGTTCCAGAAAAAACGAATAAATCTTCTGCAAAACAGTTTCTCCCTTCTTTTATGTCGACCGCCAAAGGGATATTGTGATCCTTGGTATTAGTCGAAAGGATTTGTAAAATATTTTTTTTCACATACAATTTTGCAGACTTCTTGAGGGGCTGCAGCCTCATACATGTAGCATCTCCGATCATCTTGTAGGTATGGATATGAATGAGTGTGGGTGTGGACGTGCAGTTGTCTATCAGTAAATTGACTCTAGTTCCTTCAAAGCCTTATGAAAACAAGATTTACTATATACGATTTGACGCGCCTCAAAACGTTTTGCAACATAGTATATTTGGTTTTTCATCGTTGAACAGGTCACTTGAACCGATAAGGTTCTTAAAATGCCGTGGTCAGAACCTTTGGACCAACCTACGTAATTCGAACTGATTTCATCAGATGACTTAAACAGGAAACAAGCTCTTCATTATTAAACCTATGAAGAAAATAGCTTCGAACTCACATATTTTAGTTGGATATGTTGTAAAATATTGCAGATTTCTAGAATTGAAAATCTAATTATGCAAGATCTAAATATTCGACCTTTCCAACGCTAAGACAGTTGTTAGCAGTCCCACAAAAGTAGCATTACTTTATGTAGACCAGGGAGGCATATGGGAGCAGATGCACCCGCAGTCATTCGACTGCTAGTGGAATGTAAAGACTCATTATCTCCAGATGAAACCGCCAAGGTGGGCATTGGTCCATTTCGTCATAACCTTCTGCCGCGTGCACTATTAAACAGGCATATTAAAAATAGGATAATCTTTATGATTCAGTGAAATACCGTCCTAAAGACTAAAGTCGAAAAGTCATAAGCAAATATATCACCTGTATTTTTCCATGAGCTTTTCTCTCATGAAGATTTGCTATATATAGCTCCTGCTTCTTACGCTCAAGCTCGTATTTGGCTCGACGAACGAATACGTTTTGATCCAGAGAAACCAAAACTGGCAATCTACAACAT